AAGACTAGCTAAACAGCTATATTTATATTATATAAATTTTTTATTGTCTATTGTCCCATTTTCATCACTATGTTTTGATCACCTTTGTTTTATATTTTATAGGTAAAAACCAACCCAAACCTCAGGGAAAGAACCATGACCAAGTTTCACATTCACATCTAAAGTGCAGTCCAAGTTCGAGGTAGTGCCCATGATTATAAATTATATACTGTATAACGTATTTAACTAATATGTACATGTAAGGTCTCATAAATTAAATTTCCATTATATTTAAATATCATTATGATTTCCATTATTCTCCAACACTTATCTCTTGTAGACGGAAATCAAAGTACACTTCTAGTACCTCCAGAAAAGCAGTGTCTTCAGAGAGGGACTCCACTGGTTCAGATAACAGGCAGACTGAGCAGCAGGAGCTGACAAACTGTAGAGGGCACACTGGAGAAAGTACAGTCCTGAGGCACATTACAAAAACCAGCAGCTCCGAATGGAACAGCTCCGATGATCTCGCTCTCTCTGAGACCGAGGACAGAGGAAGTGCTTACCGCTCCAGCAACAGCGAGGCTGTCACCTCTGAATCCCAGTGTCCTCACATAACCCTGCAATACCACCCTCTCAGCAGTGTGTCTGCAGAACCTCTCCAGCTGAACAATCAGCGTCAGCTCGGCACGACAGGGTCACCTCACCTTCGACCGACCCAGCGGATCTCTCTTCACCAGGGTGAAACAAGCCACGCAGTGTTTCGTCCGAGGATGCTTCAAGAACCCTTTCCATCAAGTCCTCGTCTATCATCCACATCCTACGTCAGTCCTCACAGGAAACCTGACATATCAGGCCTCAGAACCTTCTCAGATGCAAGCTCCAAGTCGGGCTCTGACCCAGAGAGGAGTACACCATCATCATGTGAAAGTGAGGAAAGACTAACTGGATGTAGAGTGGAACAGGCAGTGCCAGCTCAAGAGGTTTCTCTGACAACATACTTCTCTGTGGATAACTGTATGACGGAAACATACCGTCTCAAGTACCACAACCAGAGGCCTCTTGTCCTCTCTGCCACAGTGCCACGGACAGTGGTTGTGACTGAGCGCAGAGATACCAGCCACACACTCCCCACTGACACATACTCACAAGATGTGCCAAAAGCCAGACCTGAAACAAGTAAGCCGATCTGAAAGCGCTTGCAAACCTGAATGCAGGGCTACCCATTATGACAATATACTCTGTATTGTGCAACAATATAATGAAGTACCTTGATTTGTCAGGTATTGAATGTTCTGCTAAAAATCTAAAAAGACATCTCATTGTTTTTAATTCCCTTAACAGTTTCTCAATTTACTATTTCACCATATAAATAATATATAAATATCACAATATAAAATTACATATTGGACAAGACAAAATGATAGGATTCAGTTGGTTTTTTTTTTTGTTGTGTAAATGTTCACACAGGGTGACTCATAAAACATAGTTTAAACAAGATTTTTGTTTTGTTTCTTTACAGGCCATAATAGCAATAAACCCACTGCAAAATGGAACCCAGTGACAGCCAAAGGACTGGATGAACGTGGTTTTTTATGAGTGTTACTCGGTAAGGTTTGTTTACATGGACAGTGGTCAGTAAGAGTACTTACTGGATTCCAAAGAGTTTATAGAATGGAAATGTGTTTTCGAAGCCCAACATCTTATGCAAGCTTGTCACATAGGTAAAACCTATTTCTAAATGCTGTTGCATACCGTTTGATGGATCATCAACAATCGCGTATACTGTAACGTCTTCCATTGTCCCGCAGAATTGCTGCAAGATTTTGTTTTAACCTAAATCAGGACTTGCACAAAGGATTTTTGAGTCTTTATTATTATTATTTGTATCACCTTTTTAATTTGTGAAGTGAAGAAATGAAGGTACAGCAATATATTGCAAGTAAGGCATGAGAGATTAATATGAGCCACTGTTTGATTGATTATACTGTGGTCTGTACAGTAATTATACAAAGATGAAAGAAGAAAGTGTGGTGAGAAATCGCAGTATGCTGACATGAAGATATGTTAAAGATGCTTTATCAGAATATGATTCTTAATTCATTCTGTAAAATGGAATGGAAACCTAAAGGCCGAAGGTTTGCATCAGCAGCAGCAGTTTTAAAGATATTTTTGAGGGCTTTTTTTTAGCCTTTATTCGTGACAGGACAGGAAATATGGGAGAGAGAGACAGAGAAGGGACGACATGCAGGAAAGGACCGTGGGTCAGACTCGAACCCAGGTCTCTGTGGCAAGGTCTAAGGCTTTGTACATGGGATGCGTGCACTAGTGATGAGCTAGCCGGAGCCCCAGCAGCAGCAGTTTTAAAGTAGTTCATTTATTTACACCTTTCAAAGGAGTAATATCTGGGCAACTTACTTTATGCAGATTGAGGTCCCCAGAGAACAGACATTGCACCATTTATTGATATTCAGTTACTGATTTGTGTCGTTATCATTTATCAGTTATTTCACAACATTTATGTGTTAATGAATGACTGAGGGCTGCTCCGTACCAGTCAGCCTGCTTGGCTGTGAAAATCTGCTGACAAACATTCTTGTTAATTCATTATTTCAAATGATTTGTTAATTTTACTGGAAAATTTAAAGCAGATTCTGTGCCATCATTTGTATGTATGTCAGCAAGTCCTAGAATTTGTTGAATATGACATATAGTTGGGGCAGCCCTCAGGTTACTCAGTAGGTTACTAGAAACTGTATGACCATGTCACCTTGTGTACTCTACCTTCAATTGTGCTGGATTCTTGTAATCTTTTTTTGTAATTCACAGTGATGTCAAAATGTATTTTTTCAGTCTTCCTTTTAAAGTAGACAGATTTAAATAAGTCTGTATTTGCAGGTATTTTCATAATGTTGCCAATTTAATTAATATGCCTAATCTAATACAACACAACAATTATTCTTGTTCAAGACTCAAGACTAATGTTCTGAAACCTGCATGTGGCCTTTACAAAGTCTTACTAGCTGTGTGTACAGCATAAGCCTGAGCATGATAATACTGGACTTTAAGTCCAACAAATATACATTTTATTGGATTTTACTTAAGTGTAATAAAATTAATTAATTAAATAGCAATTTATAACTACAGTTGATTTGGAAACTTTTAACACTTGAATGATCTCTTGCTTACGCAGGGACACTTTTGGTTATGCATCCATTGTAAATATAAACATGTGATGCAAACATACGCTAGAAAACAACTGACTGTCCAAGACATACTATGCATTCACTAACAATTACTTTAATATTATTTTAAAAGCAAATTTTGGTATTTTTAAGGCTTTGTATTCTGTACATCTAACATTCCTGAAAACATAAAAATCTTAGTGTTGTTCAAATTTCAAATATTGATATAAATTTTCTTTTGTGCTCACCAGATTGCCAAGTCTTTTCCTAAACATCCTGCCACTTATACATTTTCATGTACTTCGCACTTTTGTCTATCCACAATAACCTTTGTCCAGGTATTTCTCAACTATACTAACCACACACATTTAGTCACTAAATTTGCTGTATTTGTGTGTGTTGTGTTTGTGCTGTCTAACACCAAAGGACAATGTTTAGAGATTTATGTGTGTGTGCGCGTGTATGTGTGTGTAATCACACATAAACTTTATTGACACTGTTAAAATTTAAGAAAAAAAAAGACATCCAATGTAACTGAGTTATTAAGAATTTCTTTAACCTAACAATCTAATGTTTCAAATAACAAAAGGATGCCTTTACTCAATTTATTTATTAACTAGATTATCTTAATGTTGTCTCACCTGCAAAGTGTTTTTGTGGTTTCTTATGTCTAATGGTTATTTCATTTATTTACAGTATTTATCCGGTTATTTGTTTTCTTCATCTGTAAGGGTAAGGGTTAAATAAGGAACTCTATTGTTTTTAACTCTATTTATTTTAAGTTCTATTTTAAGATTCTGAACTTTGTGTCTTCAGTTGTATCAAGAGTGCCTTGACATTTTCAGTGGGACATTTTTTTGTGAGTGAAACCACAGTTAGGGAATGAAGGCGGTGAATGAAAAGGATGGAGGATGCCAGGCAAAACTTTCGAATATGCAATGCTAATAGAGACATATCTGATGACACGCCTCCGTGTGCCCCATTGATACTGCATGTGTGTGTGTGTGTGTGGGAGTGGCAGAGGGAGGCATTTGTGTAAGGTAAAGCTCTTTCAGACTAAGAAGCTGCAACCACAGCGACAAGCTTGTAAGTGGCAAGTGCATCACACCTCTTGGGAGAGCCTTGATGTATAATAACTGAAAGATTTCTTTTCAGTGCAAAACTTAAACATTATAATAGTAATTAAATGTGCACGCACGCCTGTGTGTCTGCTGGTGAGCAAGCTTGGTAAAAAGAAAACTGATAATTGGTTTTCCTCTTGCACCCATGATCTGCAGTCTTCAGTCACAGTAAGGCTTTGGACCTATTTGACAAAAGGTCATTTTGTCCTGTGTCACATAATGTCACAGTTGGCATTGCATCAATCCATATGTTTAATCTTGTGCTAATATACGGGGACAGAACCTAACTAGACTGTATTGCATCAACACTGAAGAACAACGGAGAAACATAATGTCACTGATTTGATCTGATTAGTTTCTGGCTGATGTGGCCTGATGTGTTGGAACTGTATGCCTCTCTAAATCCTATAGTCATACCTCGGTGTGTAGTTAGGATTTGGCCTGACATTACTATTGAACTGAGTTGTTGGTGCTTCAGTGAATGCTTCATGACTTGTACAGATCAATTTAAGGAAACATATATAATCTGTCTACACTTTCTATTTTTGTAGATAATATATATTTATTTTTATTCATTGTTGAATAAAGTTTAAATTATTGTATCACTCTTGAAATTAGTAACATCACTGTGTATGTTTTTTAAACTTCACACCAACTACCACAGATTCTCACAGAAACTTTTGATAGATTACAGAAAAAAACAAAACAGAAAACAGGCAGTCACAGTATGGCTTTATTAGTGCAAGTATCAAAATCCCGTGCAATTTAAAACTGATTCATACACTGTACAGGCAAGTTGCGCACTTTTCAAAGGCTGTATTGGTATAATTAGTTGGTAATTCAACACACTACTGTAAGTAATCCTGAAGTCAAACATGTCACATTAAAGTTCTGGTGATCAGTTGGATCTAACCCCTCTTGAAAATCCTCTTTGCGTCCACACCTTCATAGTTGTAGCTCTGTTGGTAAAAAATGATGTCCAACATTATATATTATTTTTATTATTATATAACTTCAAAGTTTCTGCATCTGGCTGAATTATCAAGAGGGTTTACTCCAGTTAATAATGAAATTCTGCGGGGTCCTTATCCATAAAGGCCCTTTCAGACACAACGCGCAGCTTTCCGCTGCGTCAAACAAAGCGTTTGACCCAGGGTGCCGCTCAACATCCTGTTTGACCTTTATCTCTGTTTACAAAAGGTGTTGGTCGTAGCTTGACCATACTAACATTTACCAGTGCAGAACTGCAGGCAGCCTAGTTCAACTTTGGACTTCTGGGTGCAGAGTGTACTGAACACAGCGGCAAGCGCAGCTAAAATCGCGTTGTGTCTGAAAGGGCATCTACGTATGTATTCACATACGTAGATGGATATCAGAGTTCGACCGGTGTAGGTGTACTTAAATCATAATACAGTATCTCATAGCTCAGACGTTACAAGGACAGCTGGAATGTTAAATCAACAATACAGAATTATCTGTATCCCAGCTAAACCGATTCTCTGCACCCTTTATAAGGTTTCTCAAATGTTTGATATTAAAATGGAATTTTTTGTTGGCCTAATTTGCATAAATATAAATCCACCCTACCTGTATAAGTTCATCTCCTTGGACAGTTCTGGTTGTTGTCAGTACTTTTCCATTGTCCTTTCTGTTGAAAACCCCCTTCAACATGTCTCCCTCCATGTCCCAGGAGCCCTGCGGGGTGAAACAGGAAAATGACTGATTACATGAACACTAGATGGAAAAGGTTTTGCAGGCTGTGCAGGTTGACAGTTTTATGGCTATGACTGTTGGGGTTGGTGAGTTGAAATTAACTGAACCCAAGAGTTACCACAATAAAAGTCAAGCCTTGATGTATGGATTGTATCTTTAGCTAACATATGAACTTTTCTTGCAGCTCAAAGGTTCAAAGTCTACAGTGATGGGAATGCCCAGCTCATCTCAAAGTATTTAGAACTAATTAATTATTAATAGCTAATTAAACAAAATGACAGACATTTTGATAACTGGGGACAAGCTTAAAAACTTGTAATGGCCAGTTTCTGAGTAATTATAAAGTGTAGTGCTGGACAATGGTGTCACTTTAACTTACTTTTAGTTCTGTTCCATCTGCAAGGCTGTACTCAAAGATGACCCCCAGGGTGAAATCTATTTCCAGGTTGCGGAAATTACTGCTCTCCTTGACGTGAAACTTGTCTCCAGTCTGTTCGATGGTTATCTTGAGGTTGTCGTGAGCAGCCAGCTTCCTCTTCACCATGTTAATTCCTATCAACAGACACATGGAATATGTGCAATAGGTGACGAACAATCAAAGGAAGTTTGTCAGGGTTTAATCACTTCATGTACAGGTAGTTCCTTTGTTTGTGTACATGTAGAGGTTAAGTAGGTACACAAGCCAAATCACAAGCATGTGCAGTAGGTCATTGTGTCAAGTGTTTTCAAGTGGGACTTTAGCTCCAGTATTTGGTTCAGTCTTCTATGTAAGTATGGAAGGACATAAGCTATTAACTTATAACTTATATTATGATTGCACGCATTTAAAAAATTAAAATCTCATAGATTTGATCAAATAAACATTTGCATGATTATCAGTTTGCAGCATAAGTGAGATTTTGATTTTAAAACAATTTGTGTCATTAAATGTGCCATATTACTGCCTAGCTGCATTTTATTAGTGCTTTATCAACTGCCTTATCAGTTCTTCATTATAGTACGGTCATCTCGATACACAGAGATTCTACACACCATAATGACACACACACACACACTGATTTTTCTACCAATGCATCAACTCATCAAAGAAGTGTGCTACACAGTCTTCAGTATTTTATCAGCAGTTTGACATAACTCACCCATTTGTTCCATGAATTTCTCATAGTTATCATTGCGATCAATTTTCCAGGTGCCGTTGAAGGTCATGGTGGGAGTGAGGGTAAACTGGACGACTCTGCAGCAGAGGAGTGTCTAACTCAAAGTCTGCCGTTCCTTTTAAACCGCCCTCTTATCTCGTCATCTATTTCAATGCTGATGTGGCCGTTTAAAGCTCATATCTCCTCAAGGTAATATCCACAGCTACAGCTGATTGGGCAATGCCATGGTTCTGAACAGAAGTGTGCCAGCCATAAACCATAACATATGAAACCGTATACTTTTGAATGGCTGAACCCTGTATCTCAGTTTACAAAGGGTGTTGGCCATAGCTTAACAGTTATCAGTGCTTAGAACTGCAGTAATTGAACATGCATACAAAAATAAATAAAAGTAAGATATATTTAAACAAAACCATGTTTTTAGTGTCTATTTTAGGTGCCTTTACCTCAAGCTAATAACACCTTGCTACACCTCTTGTCACTCAGCCAAGATTTTACCGCACTAGATGTAATTGCTTTGTACAAATACAGTGATACTTCTGACCTTAATCTGGCCATTGTTGATAAATGAGACCTTTGATATTTGAAGTTAATATTAAACAAACATTAGTGTATACTGTCATTATTTGGCAGTTGTTGTGTGTCATTAAGATAACTCAACTGATTATGTGATTATGCTTATACAGTATCTTTTATAGTCTCTCTGGGTAAATGTTTATGCAGATGAGAAAATGTTTTTGGTAAGAAAAAGCTGCAGGAAATCTACAGGAAAATGTATTTCTTAAATGTTCCATGCCAATGACAAAGGGATGAACATGTCAATTATCTTTCTTATCTCTCATCTTACTGGGTTGCACAAGATATCTTTGCCTGACCTTCACTTCCTCTACTATGACTGCAGTGATGCAATTGACAGGTGAGCTTCAGACATATTTGATCAAGCCCCACTGAAGCTAATCTTTAACACAATTATACCCTACAATGTTATCCACTAGTTGTAGTATCTGTTGTAACAGTGCATGCAAAATAATGACATAGTGTATAAAAGGAGCGGTATAGCCTATCACTGCAGTGACCCAAACTGTTTTACCATGGATGTATTACTCACCAACCTGTGCATACCCTGAGGTCCTCAGACCAAACGCTGCAAAGTTTGAACTGTCTGAGTGTGAAAAGCACCTTCCTGAAAAGTAGAGCATATTACATTAAACAAGCAATTTTACAAGCTTTTGCGGCATTGTTTTCTGGGCACAAGGGGGGAGAAAACATCATAACAGGCTGACAAATACATACTTTAGCTACCACTAGGGCTGCAACTAACGATTATTTTCCTTGTCATTATTCTGTCCATATTTTCTCCAAAAAATGTCAGAAATTGGTTCCCAAAGCCTAATATGACATCCCCAAATGTCTTCTTTTTTGTGCACAACCCAAATATATTCAGTTTACTGTCATAGAGGAGTAAAGAAACTAGAAAATATTCACATTTATCATGGCTTAATCATCCAGCAGGGAAAATTTATGGTAAGAAGACCCTTTGGGAATTCTGAAAATGGTTTGTTTAAACCACGGCCTTCTGGGCTTTTCAAACATCACAGATTAGCTTAATTATCTTTCATAGAAACTGGTGGTTACCTCTGTGGCCGGGAATCTAAGCTCATAAATGAGAGATACAGCTAGCAGCTAGATAGTTCACAGTTGGCTTATCAGACCTTTTCTCCTTTAAACTGCAGTCGATGGAGCAGCTGAGAAGGTAATAGTGTGAGAGAAGCTAAAACATTAGCTCATTCTACTAGAGTTTAGCACCCTTCTTTTATAAAGTCTATGTTAGCACCACAAGTGAACCATGTAATAGGATATTTCAATCTTTGGGCACTCATTCACTTTTTACAAGAGCCTTCATTGGTTTTATGGCTGATTTATAAGACAAGAATAGAATCTGTTTTAATTGCAGGTCTTCATTAGGTTCAAAGCAGGAAAAAAAAAACCTCAGCTTGATTTTTTTATAGAGTAATGAAACAGCCAGATGACCACAGACAAGTGAATAGGTAACTTAGGCCTACTTCCACGTCAATTAAAGGACTTATAGAAAGCAAGAAACAAAACAAAACAAAAACAAAATACTGAAAATCATCCATTTACTCATAAAAAGTTTTTTTTCTAGAAAGTGTCTAGTTTCATGTTTACTTTTAACATATGAGACAATGTGGTAGGCTATATTTTGTGGTAGGCTATATTTTGGAATGAACTAATAGTAGGACTCACTTAAGTTTGCACTTTGCGGTAACCCCACTATAAATTATAACAGTCTATGCTATGATTAAGTGAAAATTCTGTTTTAGTGACAATAACAGCAGCAGGTGTGCAGTTGTGAAAAGTAAAGTACAAATAATTAGTTACTGTACTTAAGTAGTTTCTGTATCTGTACTTTACTTGAGTATTTTTAGTTGTTGCAACTTTTAACTTTCACTTCACTACATTTCAAAGCCAAATATCGACTTTTAACCTCGTTATATTCTGTATGAGACCTCGTTACATTGGTATTAGTAGCACGCAGCGCACCTGAGTTGAGCAGCACTGAAAAACAAATGTAAAACTGATAAAGCCGACTCGGCGCTGAATCAACTTCAGCCAGCTGATGCGACACCGGCAAACGCAGCGATAGTCCAGCGCAGAGCTGTCAAAGGAGAACGCGAATGTATCGGCTACAATTTTGATGAGAGGATAAGGACGGACTTCTTCTAGGCACGAAAAGAGAAAAAAAAACTCAATGAGAGGGAAGTGCGGGAACAGCAGTCAGGTAAACATGTGTTCTCTCCTCTCCAAGTCTGATGTCAGCAGATCATAGGCTAGCCTATATAGTCTAATGTGCAGCTGCCGTGCATCTCTTGTCTGTCCCAGTCTTGGTTGCTTGCCAGACTGTGACTGAACAATGTCGAGTGAAAAACAACTATTTTTTACACTTGATAAACGCAAACGGGCCGCGGCGTTTTTCAACTGTAGCACGGAAAGATGGCCTCATTGCGCGTGAATATATGCGCGTGCACAAAATTAAACTGGCGCATTCCAGCAAGAAACATCTGTGGGACCAGTCCAGACAGGACGTCAGGGCACTCCTCATAGCCTACATCATTTAAAAACAAGATCAAGAACAAGAACAAGTGAAGTTTAATTACAACTCTTGACTAATGCAAGATGGGAAGCAGTGGATTCACAATGACTATTGATATGCTGATTAGCTGCACAGACTGGGCATTATGGATGCACATCTCACTAAATAGGCTAATAAGCATCACATATTCAGCCAAGTCATTTTACAAATAGTATTTTATATTATGAAAATGTATTGAAGGAAATCCTGGAGGAGCCAGTTAGAATGTGCCTGATGCAGCTGATAGCATTAATATATAGAAAATATCTATAATTTGCAGGGGCTATGCTGACGTTTGTCAGTACAGTAGATGCTGGATCATCAGCCAGGACAAGAACAGACTCCTGCCAGTCAGCCAGTACAAGCACAGCTGATCCACATCCAGCCGCAGCCTGTAAGAGCAACAAACCCAGTTGCTGCTCCACCAAATGACCCAGCAGATTGGCCCCCAGCCCCATCAGACTTCAAGAGGAGTGAGTTAGTGTGCAGAGGTCCATTAAAACCAGCACCGGGTTTTTCTAGAGGAGGTTTCTATTCAGACTTCTTAAAGAGGGAGGATTGTAGTGAGAGCATTGTGGTGTCAGGTGTGACCCACCCCCACACACACAAATAGGAAATATCCACTTGTTCTCCTAGGACGTTGCGTTTTCCTTATTGTGATTCATTATAATTTATAGATGTTTTGTTTCCAGGATTGTAATCTTCTGACTGGCCACTAGAGAGAGCGCTTTACAAAATAATCGACTATATGAAATCAGCCTTACACTAATGTCTGTGATGGATTAAAACCGATTAAAACAGTGCCTTCAGTGAACAAAAAGACCATCCATCACTTTTTCTGTTCACCTGTAAAGTTGAGTCTTTATAAAAGCCACAGTGAGAAGGTTGATGACAACACCGGTGCTGTAGAAAGGAAATATCATACAGCCAAAACTTCTCAAGACTATTTTTATTAGTCCCCTCACGACAGAAACATTGGTAAAATAAAACAATCATGTCTTACAAGCACAGAAATGCACTCCTACAGTACAAGAGGCACCTGTTTGTTTCTTACACAGAAAGCTGCATTGTTGGGGAGGATTCCTTGCAAGGACATTATGTGAGGTTTAATAATAATGACATTGGAAAAATAGGGTGAATAAAACGTGGTACGTTTACTCATGTGAAATTAATCCAACATATATAGCACATAGTGATGTCATCATCTATAACAAAGTTTACATATTTTTTTCCCTTGCTTTTGTCAGTGTATAATCTGTTTTTTAAAGGTCATAATTACACTTTCTAATGAAAAAATAATATAATGTTTACAACAAATATGTAATGTAACATTTAGTAAAACTGAAAATAGTACTCAATATAATTTCACAGAAGCAGACAAAAAGTGAAAGTGTAATAAGTAAGAGAGGTGCAATAAATATATTAAATAAAGTAGTGTGTAGTGCTCATTTTAAATATTTTAATAATTCAGTCACAGATAAATAATACAGTTTACCGGTGGCTCAACGTGTATGATTTTTGACTTGAAACTAAATTCTATTTCAACTAAACATGAAATACATCTTATTGTAATAAATGAGTGGCTTTTGTGTCAAAGAACTGGTGAACATGGTGATATAAATCTATATAAATACCACAGCTATAATATCTAAATTTGAATTTTTGTTCTTTCTGCCAGTGTAACATATTCAGTGTAAAACTTCATAACTCATATCCAATGAGAAAAAAATGGGTCCCTCAAATAGTGACACGAATTTAATGACCCAAACATGACATCAAGCTAATATACTCTCACAAGTCATTTCTGTCACTTTAATTGAAGTTGTTGTCATTGTCACCCTTAAAAGTGAAAATGACAATGGTTAAAACATATTTTATTAATTTAAGTATAATTAGTATTTTAGACTGATGGTGTAACGACTTTAAATTCTCGGTATCTTTGGCAGACTTGAGAACAAATACAGTATTTAACCAAATTAGCACCTAA